CATATCCAAAGAACTTACCATTTTATAAAACCTCAAAAGAATTTGGGGAAGAAGTTGGTCAAATGTATCAAATGTCTTTGGTTCAGAGACTGCAGGAAGCTTTTTTCCAAGTTTCTTTTCTCTGTCAGTGTTTAACAGCTCAGATTTGTGATACTTCAACACAGCAGTCCCCAAACAGACGCTAAGCTAACTAGACAGGAAAATCTCATCCACCTTTGTCAGCCTTCCTATCAAACACTGCTTTGTCTCGTGGGGTATTTCATCTTAAGTTTAGAAACCACTTTCATATGTCAGCTACTTTCTTGTAAGGTTGTCATGACGGCAACAGGGTTTTGTTCATGAAAGACTGTTGAGAAGAACCTTGCAGGTTCACCTTGCAAGAGCTTGCGAGAACCAGCCCTTTCAAAGCATGACTAGAGATTTGAGCGATATAAACTCCAAAGACTCATCCATTTTCCAGCTTCAGTGCTGTCTTATTCAAGCTGGACTGGGAGGTTTTTACTGCCTTCCAGTGTCACAAGGGAAAGCAGTGCCAAGACCCTTCTCCTGCTCTGTGCTGAGAACAGGATGATCATGCTAGGTCTGATCTACAGTGACATGTAATGATCACAGCTTTCAGTACAAATGTGAGCACCAGATGCTCGGCACTTCCGCGGGCAAGGTCACTATCTAATATTCATAGAGTCTTTCACACTGTAATCCACTATCCTGCCTTGGGAGTTCAGGATGTAAGGCATTTTCCTTACTGAGCAGTTAAAGCAGTAAAAAGTTTATATCACTAATAGTTAAAAGGATCTCTATTACTTGCCCTGTAGCTCTTACAGTTTCAACTCTTCAAAGAAGTGGCAGTCTGCTAGTCTGGTGCCTTTCTCAGTTTTACTGTGACTAGGAATCAATACTATCACCAGTGCTTTCACTCAGTTTGACAGTTTCCCCACTGAAAAGCACCTAGCTCAAAGGGTCATACTGACTAAAATATTACAAAGTTTCCCAGCTGAATCTGTTAGAATATCACTGATGGGGACCATCACACAACAGCCTTCCTCAGTAGACCCACAGGCTATAACAGACAGCTTTTTGCTAGGCTGAGGGTACAACATGTACCTGCATCCCCATATCTTAGAAAAGTTGGTCAGGGTTGCCAGCTATGACAAAAAATACTGTTTGAGATTCCCTTTCAGAAGTGACGGTCCTGAACCATTCATCTTGAAACAATTCCATCTGCCACTGGAACACTGCCCACAAAACCAAGGCATTTCAATTGAGTATCAATACCTGCTAGTATAGTCAAATACTCTATTTTACCATAATAATAATGTACTACTTCTAATGTATTAAATAACTATGAAGCTTCTTGGATGGCTTGCCACTTGATCTTAGTCTTGCGTTTCGAAATTTACCTGAGGTAACCAGGAATTCCAAAGAAATGCTCCTACTTATTTCTTCTTATTCACTAATTGCAACCAGAATCATGGATGCAGTACCAACACATGGGTGTATTCAGCAATACTAAGATTCAATGTAGTAAAATGCAAGTTAAAAAGATATGTTTAGCTAAATATGATAAAAAGGGACTGGGTTTATAATCTGCTAACATCTTATCCCCAGAAAACATAACTGAATATGGAAATACCATTAAATCAGTTAATGCTTTCCTGTGACTTTGGAAGAGGTTCTCTCCCCAAGAAATGCCAGGAATGAATGTGCCAGTTTTATATCTCTTCTGCAATGCCGCTTCTCTCCCACCCCTCACCCCATATCCCATACACAGCTGGAATATTTCTCCTTAAACAGGAGATTAAGAATTATTAGATGTTGCTGATGACTAACAAAATAAAATATTATAGAGGCACCAGCTGCTCCAGAAAAGTTTTAATTCTGCTGTTACACCTGTGGTTTAATAAAATAAAATGCATCAGGTGTAATGAAAATCCAAATACTGTAATAGTAGAGGCATCACCTACCCTACCAGGGGCCTCAGGGAAATGTAGTGGCTGTGATAGTTAAGAGTGATATAGTAATAGGTCAGTAATTTCAAGAGCGTAAAAGGAAAGGGAGATAAACTGAGACATCAGGGGGAAAAAAAAAAAAAAAAAAAAAAAAGACAATTTTATAGGGACTTCAGATTCATTCGTAAGGAGACTACTGATTCACTAAAACCAAGATTATAATCAGTCTACGAAATTCAAACTCTACATAAATCAGTGTCAAAATCTGACTGAAATCCAAATGAGTCAATATTTCTCTGTTGAAATGAATAAAATTAGAGCAGATGTGAGTCAACTAAAAGCATCTGTCATGTCCTGCTAAACTAACTAAAAGAGGATCGAGTTTATGGGCACATTTCACACGGAGCAATCTTAGGAACAGTGAACATGGACGAGAATTTAGTAAAGGACTTGGGAATTTGATTTCTCTCCTAAATGATACATGTTTGCTCTGAACTGTAAATACTGTATTGCCTGTTCTATTTGTGCTAGAATTGAATGGTAAAGATACAAAGAATTTATAAGGGCAGTACATACTGAGTGGTTTCCAAACTCTAGAGATTAGTCAGTAATAAATATAAACCAGGCCTTTCTTTAGTACCTTAACGTTCTACTGTTTAAGTCATATATGACTATTGTGCTTACGTCATTTTGGGGATGAAATCAATATTAAAATCATGGTATGTTTCAAAGAAATCCACTGAATAAAACTGAGCCTGATTCCGCTGCCAATGACTTTAGCATGAATGGAGCAAAACTCTTAATTCAGACAAACATTATTGCACTATTTATATTTCATGGATGGAGGATATGAGACAAAGGCATTAATATGATTTGTTTACAGCCCTGGACGAAGTCAGTCTTGGTGTTTTTTTGTTTCTATTATGTTCTGTTCTGTCCTATTCTGCTCTATTAAATTCAGCTTGTGCTGCTGCCCTTATCCTCACAACATCCAACAGTATGTTCTGTATTTTTCATGTATTATTTGCTTTTGAAAGATGCAGTATTACAAAAGACTTGAGCATGAAGCTGTTTTTGGTTTGGGATTCTAATTACCTTTTTTTTTGTTTCTACATATTGGATTGGATGTAGAGTTTGTCTCAAGCAGCTGTAGAAGGAAAAGAAAAGAGTATTTTTTGACTGCAGGTAAAATTTTTGCTGTCCTGTATGTTTTTAATACCTAAACTGAGATCAAATACCTGCACACTGTGCTTGCCATGGAGTGTGGAGATGTTCAAGGTGGTCTTCAGACCCTGTGATTTAGGCAGTTCAGCCTCCTCCTTTGTGAAGGGCAGCTCCACTGTGCTCGACAAATGCAACTGCCTACCAGAGTCCCAAAACTTGAACTCTCACCAGTAGCCCGGAGCCAGACCACTGAATGCTTTAAGGTTAAAGACAGACATCTCAGATTCCATGTGAGAACTTGCAGAGAGCCAATGTAAGGAACACAGGGCAGGGCAAGTTATCTATCTTTTTCACAGTACAAGGTGTCCAGGAAATGTGTAATTGGTCTTGAGCTATCCCTATCGCTGGAGGTGTTTAAGAGTCAGGTCGACTTAGCGCTGAAGGATATGGTGTAGTTGGGAGCTGTTAGGTTGATGTTAGGTTGATGGTTGGACTGGATGATCTTCAAGGTCTCTTCCAACCTAGACAATTCTGTGATTCTGTGAGCGCTGATAATTTCATGTCTAGTTCTATGGCAAGTCTTACAGTCTAGCCAACTGTGACTGGAGACCATAAAATGAAAGCACATAATTTCTCGCCACAGGGGTCCTTCGGGTTCCTGGCCAGCTTGAAACTGCAGTTGCTGCTCTAATTCGGCAGGACGCGCACCTTCCACCAACCAAACACTTGCGAACTCCATGAAACACTACATCCATTTCGTGCAGACACAAGCTTCTCACCACTCCTCGGGGCTCGGCAACGCTCATTTAAACCCAGGCAGCTTTACATTCTCGCTTTGACCGCTGACACCCACATCACAACATCTTCCCACAGAGGGATAAAACGATTTTATTTTTTTTTTCCCCACATGAAGTTTCCAGACTGGAGTACCTTCTTCCCCTGATCCTAGCGCTACACACACACACGCGCACACACACACACACACACGCACACACGCACACACACGCACACACACACACACACACACACACACACACACACACACACACACACACACACACACACACACACACACACACACACACACACACACACACACACACACACACACACACACACACACACACACACACACACACACACACACACACACACACACACACACACACACACACACACACACACACACACACACACACACACACACACACACACACACACACACACACACACACACACACACACACACACACACACACACACACACACACACACACACACACACACACACACACACACACACACACACACACACACACACACACACACACACACACACACACACACACACACACACACACACACACACACACACACACACACACACACACACACACACACACACACACACACACACACACACACACACACACACACACACACACACACACACACACACACACACACACACACACACACACACACACACACACACACACACACACACACACACACACACACACACACACACACACACACACACACACACACACACACACACACACACACACACACACACACACACA